GTCACTCCTATGCATGCTTTGCGGGAACCCTTGGCTGCTGCACAACCCTTCAGAGCGCATGCGCCGGTGACATCACCGTCTGCATGATGTATGAATATCTCCTAAACGGTGCAGGTTTAGGAGATATTCACTGTACCTATAGGTAAGCCTAATTTTAGGCTTACCTATAGGTGCAACTTACAAAATGGACTTTACTTCCACTTTAACTAAAACCATGACTAGTCCTCAACCATGACAGCTTTTGGTTCTAGATGCCGTTCATGCCCAACAACCCAGGGTCTAATTTCTTTGCTGTAGTCTTCCATACATGGCAACACCAACTAGCAAACCTCAACATACTGCTTGAGATGAGATGGGAACATGAATTTGATACCTCTCTACCTTCCGAGGGATGGAACAAAACATGGGAAGCCCTGTTCAAATTGTCATGTAATGTGTTGGCTCTGGGAAATGTTTTCAGAGTTATGTCCCAGGGGTACTGCAGTCCTGCTAGAATAGCGAAGTGCCTCCAAATTATCCCACTTTCTGCTTTCAGGGCAGCTCAGACTTGGGAGGTATCAGGCACATTTGGTGGACATTTCCAAGGGTCAAGTGGCTCTGGATATGAGTATATGCTATCGTCAGTACGGTCCGCCATGTCAACTTGCATAAAAATCCCTTTGAAACGCTTCTACACAAACCAATAGAAATTATCAGTTGTCAAGAGGTTACGCTTATTACCCACATCTTTATGCCTTTGAAGAGGAGGGCATGGAAGTTGCTGACCCTCACCTTATTAATGAGAAAATCACAGCGGTTCTTTACTGGGGTCATTTCATTATAACCTCTCTAAACTGATATTTAAGATATTATGGGTATTGGCGTGAAATATGGCTCATCCAGTGGGGAATGTGTTCCTAGTTGTGACGTGTATATGTGGTAGCCTCAGACAGTGCAGCTCCACAAACCACGCACCCATCAGGACTTAGTTATAGAGGACCTGTGCAAGATATCTAGATGATTGAATAGTCATTTATTCTCTTTTACCATTATGTACCAGTGGATGTATAGCATAAGCAACTTCTATTCATATTTGACTGCTCAACCAACAATGTAATAAAATTCACATTTCCACCAATCCATATCATAAATACAAAGTCCAAACAGCTCTTCCAGAAGTTGCAAGCAATAATTTCAACTTATCAAGCACTCCACTGAGTATATTCTTCATGCAGCATCTTGATCTTGTACCTTGTGTAATCATGTAAAGACTCATATATTGGTTGAATTGTGTCCTGGGCGTGTGTAAAAACAATATACTGCATACTGGGTCAGGAGCTACTATGCACTTTTTGCTGTTGCATGCAAAATTCAAAGTTTTCAAAATCTGCACTTAGTCATGGTATTCTTGTCTGAGAGAAACCTGGCAAGTGCTTAAAGTGGAACTTTACCTGCAACAGTTTGATAACAATTAATGTTCTTCGCAAAAGAATACACATTCCACGTTAATAATTATGCTACCAAAATTTGTGTGCTGTGAATTGCCTACAGCATTGCTCCTGTTTCTTCTTGCTGCTGGCTGCAATTTTGTTGAAGCCCAGAGCAGTCACTTCCTTATTGAAAGTTTCCCCCCTTTCCTTGATCTCAAAAAATGTCACTTTCTGTAATTCACATATGTGCATTTCTAGCTTGATTTCATGTCTTTGCTCAGCTAGAGAGAGAGGCTTACAGAAGTGTTATATAGTGCTCAGTCTCATAAGAGAAGACACTCTCCTTGTAAGTTTACCTCTTTTGTGTTTCCCTGGCAGCAGAATTTGTCCTGTCACCTCTTCTGCTATAGGGTGGAGCATAAATGCATTCTACTGGCCAGAATAATAATTTATTCTGTTAATGTTCAGTGAAGGAAATAAGTATTTGATTCCCTGCTGATTTTGAATGTTTGCCCACTCACAAAGAAATGATCAGTCTAAAAATCGAATGGTAGGTGTATTGTAACACTGAGAGACAGAATAGCAACAAAAAATTCAAAAGAAATGCATGTCTAACAAATTATGCACTGATTTGCATGTTCATGAGGGAAATAAATATTTGTTCCCCTTTCATTCAGCAGAATTTCTGGCTACCAGGTGTTTTTTATACAGGTAACAAGCTGAGATTAGAAGCAGTCTGTTAAAGGGAGCGCTGCCAATCTCATTTTGTTACCTGTATAAAAGACACCTGTCCACAGGAGAAATCAAACAGATTCCAATCTCTCCACCATGGTAAAGACCAAAGAGCTGTCCAAGGATGTCAGGGACAAGATTATAGACCTATACAAGGTTGGACTGGGCTACCAAACTATCGCCAAGCAGCTTGGTGAGAAGGTGACAACAGTTGGTGCGCTCATTCACAAATGGAAGAAAGACAAAACAACTGTCAGTCTCCCTAGGTCCGGTGCATCATGCAAGATCTCAACTCATGGAGTGTCAGTGATCATGAGAACAGTGAGAAATCATCCCAGAACTACAGGTGAGGATCTTGTCAATGATCTCCAGGCATCTGGGACCACAGTCACCAAGAAAACAATTAACACGCTACGCGACAAGGATTGAAATCCTGCAGTTCCCACAAGGTCCCTCTGCTCCAGAAAGCACATGTTTAGGCCCGTGTGAAGTTTGCCACGGAACATCTGAATGATGCAGAGGAGGACTGGTTGAAAGTGTTGTGGTCAGATGAGATCAAAATCGAGCACTTTAGCATCAACTCAAGTCACTGTGTTTGGAGGAGGAATGCTGTCTATGACCCCAAGAACACCATCCCAACTGTCAAACATGGTGGTGGAAACATTCTGCTCTGGGGGTGGTTTTCTGCTAAGGGGACAGGACAACTGCACCACATCAAAGGGACGATGGACGGGGCAATGCACCATCAAATCTCGGGTGAGAACCTTCTTCCCTCAGCCAGGGCATTGAAAATGGATAGTGGATAGGTGTTCCAGCATGGCAATGACCCAAAACACACGGCCAAGGCAACAAAGGAGTGGCTCAAGAAGAAGCACATTAAGGTCCTGGAGTGGCCTAGCCAGTCTCCAGACCTTAATCTGATTGAAAATCTGTGGAGGGAGCTGAAAGTTCGAGTTGCCAAATGTCAGCCACCAAACCTTAATGACTTGGAGAGAATCTGCCAAGAGGAGTGGGCCAAAATCCCTCCTGAGATGTGTGCAAACCTGGTCGCCAACTACAGGAAACATCTGACCTCTGTGATTGCCAGCAAAGGATTTGCCACCAACTACTAAGTCATGTTTTGTGAAGAGGATCAAATACTTATTTCCCTCATGAACATACAAATCAGTGCATCATTTGTTAGACATGCATTTCTTTTGAATTTTTGTTGCTATTCTGTTTCAGTGTTCCAGTACACTTACCATTCAATTTTTAGACTGATCATTTCTTTGTGAGTGGGCAAACATTCAAAATCAGCAGGGGATCAAATATATATTTCCTTCACTGTGTGTGTATATGTATGTGTGTGTGTGTATGTGTATATATATGTATATATATATATATATATATATATATATATATATATATACATACTATACACCTTTGAAAACTGTGTTTTATAGGCTTGTGTGCATGAGGCCTTATATTGCAGTGTTTACTTAACGTACCTTTTAACATGACTTTCAAATCTTTTTTTTTTGTTATTTGGGTGGGGGCTCTTATTGCCTCAATAATTTATCTATTAACAGATATTGAATTCAGGTATCTGCTGCATAAGGAGTGAGTAGTTTCTGTGAATGGACCCAATCATTGACTTGCACTTGCTCTCTGCAGTTTTAGGGAATAAAGATTAGTTGTTTTTTTTTTTATTGCAACAGGTTGCATTTAAAAAAAAAATAAAAAAAAAAAATCCTACTTTGCTTTATATTCTTGTTAATCCCAGATTTTATGTGATTGACCTATAACCCCACCACACACTTAAACATATTTAGGCCTGTTTGTGTTTCCTCTTTTCATTCATGCATAAACATTCAGTATGATTTATACATTTTACTTCTGTTTTGGGACCTGTATGTGTTTTCTGCTGGCCATGAAGACTATAGTATAGAGACCGCTTTAATAAAGGCATGTTGCAGTATTTGACAGAATTTTGGAAGGATTGCTCTTATGCTCCACTGACCCTTGCATGTAGAATCAGAATAAAGGGCTCATGGCTTGTACTTTCTAGACAAGGTCTGAATGAACAGATTTTCCCATAGAAGCCTTCTTCATTTCTACCTCCTCCTTCTATAGCTTTATTACATTCCTGTTCTTTACACTGGATTTCTTTTCTTCTGTAGAGAGCTGTCTGTGAAGTCCTGGGAACTGCACGCTCTCCTTGCTCTACGTGTTTCTGCATTTTAATCTGTCGGCTCCCTGCGCCGTCTCTTTCTGGGCTATTTATAGCCTCCGCCTCCTGGGTTTTTATTCCAGTCGGCAGCTGCACCGTATTGTCATCAAACTGCCCCAGAATGAATAGCCTTTTCTGCTTCTTTTTCCTCCTCCTGCCTGAAGGCTCTCGTTTATCACAGGTCTTCCTTTCAAAATTCAAAACGAAGAAGACGTTTTATTAATTCCAAATTGGACCAGGCAGGTGCTTCACAGGGAAGGCATGAAAATTACATGATGAATGAACAGATATCAGGCGGGGACTCTGAATAGTCCCCTCATTTCTCTTCACCCCAACATCAAATTGGGGTTTTTCACCCATGGAAAATCTGGTCTTACACATTGGTCCATTTGAGTTCATCTATTCTAAGACATGAACACTTGATCTTCTTTTCATGGATCGGCACCCGCACACTGCAGATCAGAGTTATGCACATTCCTATTAGTGCACAGACATCATACAGTGCTTATACTCCCCTGTTATGTTCTCAACAATCCTCCATTTTTCATAAGAATATTGCACTGTGCATCATTTTTCCATTACGGTTTTCATTTAGTTAATGCACACAGACTCACATGATAAGTTGCATTTACACCTTCTCTTTTTTCTCTCTGCAGATGGAATATCTGGTCGGGACCAACCAGTGGAGCTTATAACGCAGACTCGTGCCAAACACATGCCAAGCACTGGTGAGTTCATCCACCTGCATATCACTGCAACTGCATATCAACAGTGTGCAATGCTGTTAGAATTCATGGTACACTTGTTTTTATCAGTAGTCCTCAACCAGTGGATTTTTGAACTAACTACGATGTGGGTCTCCATGTTGTCTTGTTGCACAGGGGGTCATTACTTGTAAACAAAAAAAAAATCTCTTCTTACACGTCAAAGAAGTATAAAGCCCAGCATAGCAAGCTGATATAATATCACTAAAATATTCAACATTTTCAATGACATTTTCTCCTCTTTGAACTAGAATGGGAACAGGAGCAAAATTGATGTTGCCTGTAATAACCAATCAATCAGATTCTGTTGTGATTTATATGAGAGTAAAACAGAGAACCTTTTTAGTCAGTGTAGGCATCAGCTCTGCTTTTATTCGCTTTATCTTTTCTATAGTTTTTTAGAATAGTTTCTATGGTGTTGCGTATGGCAACCTTTTTACATAAATATGGTTTACAAGCCGGCTTAAGTTGTGGACCTATACTTTCACTCTTCCTACACGCATGTGATGATGTAACAGTGGAAACTCCAAGATTGCTATTAGTCCACAGGGTACATTGCTTTTATTGGATAATCTCTAAAAATCTGTAACATTCTGTTGTGAATTTGAATGCATGTGTGGTAAATATTGGTTAGGCTTGCCATTGATCGATATCTTTTCAAGAATGACACTTGGGGGTTAATGGCCTTCTAATCTTGTATAAATGGCTCAGTTGCCTGGACACCCTAGTTTCTTGCATGACAGTATTATTAAAGCACATGCTTTACATTCCATCTGCTCCATGCAGAAGTGGGAAGTCTTCTGCCATTCCAATACAAATATTTTTCAGCAAGTTGGAAAATATCCATGTGTGATGTGTGTCTGACAGCCATGGGGCACAAACAAGCTTGATTGTTATCATGATCCATGATGATAATCTGATGGTTTATAGTCAGTCTTACAAAAATGTTAGTTGTAGCTTGTTTCATCACAGTTTACAGATTTCTCTGTTACGGTCACGGGGAAATGAAGAGGAAGATATCCACAACATGTGGATTTTATTCAGTTTCAAAAGTTGTCCCTTGAAGTTTAGTGATTTTGGTGCGAAGGGGCTCTGTCTTTTCACAGGCTGATTAGTATATATTTGCAATATATACATGTATGTTATCCCCTTAAAGGGTAAGTTCACCTTTGGGAGCATGATACACTACTATTTAATGGGCTCCACCCACACAGCAGCATCATTCATTTACAGCAATCTGTGAATGAATGGACTACCATCTCTCATTGGGGCAGATTGCTTGTAGATCTCAATGAACTGCGGAGACACTGGTGAGTGCTCTTGTAATTCATTGATCTTCCATTTCTTTAGTAACTGTCTGTCTGTACAGGAGGTACAGGCAGATCGCTATGCTGAGAGTCTTCACTGCACCTGTGATCTACTGGTCACGTGTGCAATGTTTTCCAGGCTCCTGTGGGAAAAATAATAAATGCACATTTTTTTTTTCTGCAGAAATATGTTAATTTGCTTTTTTCCCAAAAGGTGAACTTAGGCTTTAATGACCCTGCAAGTACTGAATAATACCTGTTGAGTTGCCAGAAATTCTCTCAGATGATGTGGCAGAAATTCACTGAACAGGCTACTGTTGTGGCCTGACAACACACAAGATTTTATATTCCAAGTGTTGTCAACCCTTCTCTATTCTCCTTTGTTAAGCTTTGAATCCTTCCTCCTCTCCTCCACAGCATAGGCAGTGTTTTTTTTTTTTGTTTTTTTTAGTCCAAGATAAGCATGGGCAGATGCAATTTAGGCTCCTTGAAATAGGTCCCTAACTCACATTCATACATACACCTCCTAGGGCCAATTTAGACAGGAACCAATTAACCTACCAGCTTCTCTTTGAAGTGTGGGAGGAAACTAGGGTACCTAGAGGAAACCCACGCAGGTACAAGGAGAACACGCAAACTCCAAGCAGGTAGTGCCGTGGCTGTGATTCAAACCAATGACTCTAGTGCTGCTAGGTGGAAGTGCTAACCACTTAGCCACTGTGCTGCCTTTTTCTTCATTTTGTTCTTTAGAGAAGTACATAAAGAGTCTCTATTGCTGTACTTTTTCCGCTCTATTGTGCCACATGGTCTTGATGCTTCACAAGGCAGATTGTTTTACTTACACCTACTTGCAGCTCACAATCACAAGGGGTACTTATCCCTTTCCTTCTTAGGGAATATTACAAGGACTTTCCAAAATCCTACGCATGATCCCTTTTCCACTAATGTTTGCTTGTCCCATCATGCTGCCCCCCCAAAAAAAAAAACCTATTGTAAGCGATATAGCCAGCCTTCTAGCTGGTCTCCTGTAGACTTGTCACTAAAGCAGGTCATAGATTGTTAAAATCATGTGTGTGCAGGCTGAATGTACCCAGTTGATCTATCGATGGGTGCAACCAACCTGCTGGATTTTACATGTGCGACTATCGCTAGCAGCTGTCATAGCTGCTAGCTATAATAACGGTCTTCTCCCAGTGGACCCCCCCCTTCCCCCCCCCCCCCGGGAGAACACAGTGGTTCAGAGGGAGGGACTCCCCTGTTGATGGGGGGAATCGAGCAAATTTCTTACTAATTTCTTTACTAATGCTAGCAGCATAAGGGTACAAAATGGTCAATCTTGATTGAGAGAGTGAAGTTCTGCTTTAAAAAGCCCCTGAATTAAATCTCTGATCGATAGGCCCAGGACTGATGCTATCGGTTCTATCTACAATTGACACTTAACCTTTCTTGGGCTTCATCCCCCGACCTTGTACTGAGATTTGAGATGCTCTCCCTGCCTGTATCAGGCTGAAAAAACACCAGACTACCTGTTTTGTGAGCTGGTAAATCCTACTTCTACCTCCTCAAAAGAATTCACTTTAGTACCAGTCAAACTTTTTTTTGTCAGCCTAGTACTGGAAAAGGTCACATTACCCAATTCCCAGTACCCCCATTTACTGTGTAAGCCTGTCTTCCCTCCAAATGCTCCTTTGTTACCTTCTCTTTCTGTAGGTAACCCTGCACTTACCTGCCCATCTCGCCAGACGTCTTCAGTTATATACTGCAACTTCTTCTGTTTGGAATAAACACCTAGTCTTTGGTACCCAGGCAGGTCTTGTTAGGCCTTGTATATCCTTCTCCTAACATCTTGGGTTCCCACTTGTAGTGTATTCCCATTTTCAAGGAGCTGCTCCTCTTCTTTGCCATTTAGATGCCACTCTGGGGCCTCCCTTAGGTGCTCTTGCCTACGCAGAGCTGTCTTTGTGCTCAAAGCGGTTACTTCCCTTAGAAGGACCACTGTAAGAACAGAATCTTCTTTTCTCAGTTAATCCTAACAGCTGTAGTTTTGCCTTGCCTCCCACTCTCTTTTTCTGCCTTCAGGGAACGAGTCCCTCTTTCTCTATCTGAAGCCATTTCTCAAAGGCCACAGCACCACCACTTGTTTTTCTGTTTGTGTTTTCAGAACCATTTTTTGACAGGTAGCAGTTTGAACCTCTGCTGAACCCTGCTTCGGCTACAAGGTGCTTTTGCTGTCAATTGTTTGTCAGTTTCGTTGATCATTCTTGTTTTTGCTGTAGGCCTGTTGCTTCTTATCAACTGATGACATCATTGTTTGTTACTTCATCAGCGGCTAGAAAGATGTAATGGTACACAATGAAAACCTGTGGCTTTGTGTAACTAAAAGGCAGGTTGATGCACCTGCTGGCTTGTATACAATTTCTGGGAAATTTGTAGGCATTTTGCCAAGGCACCCCTGAAGAAACTTGAAGGCACCCTGGTTGAAAAAGGCTGGTCTAATTACATGCTCTCCAATAATGTCCGTATAGCATTTCTTAGGGAGGGTATCCTGATGATAATAACAGTGGGCCATACCTTAGGCTACATTCACGCCAGCAATTTAGCCTGGTGCAAATTCCTTACTTCAGCATTATTTGTAGTGATCATTGCTGGATGCACTTTGTGTGCGTCCAGCAGCAATCATCACAGGTATTTGCTGGCTGTGCAGAGAGCCGCAGATAGCTGCGGTTGCTGGTGACCTGTCATTATAGTGAATGGGGCCGGCAGCCACAGCTAGCCTCTCGCAGAAGTAGGAATCAGAAGATTGCTGCTGCTGCAATTCGCACAGGGCTAAATCATCGGTCTGATTGTTGGCTTACTGACAATGTTTTGAATTGGTCACTTGTAGTCTTCAGCAGATGCTTGTGTGACAGTGCAGGAACACAGTTTGGAGATAGGTACAGATTACTGTCAAACTAATATAGGAAGTGCCTGAACAAGAACTATCATGGCAGAATCCTCAAGTATAAATTTAAGGAAAGCGGCAGACAAACATTTTAAAAATTTCTTTTAAAATGACTTTAACATGTTAAAGCTTATGTGAAATTTTAGTGGCTGCATTTACATGTAGTTGAAAAGTATTTTGCTTGGAGATTCATTACAAAGAACAAAGGTATGTCGTTCAGGCAAACAATACAGATCAATCTACGACAGGTACAGGCCCTGGCTCGCCACCACATACGATGCAATAAGAAGGGTCAGCTGCACACCGGAGGATAGATGAATATAGTGTGTATATATTAATCCATAGGACACACAAAACACCAGGACATGAATACAGGACCTGTTAACGCGTTTCACAATCATGATTAAGCACGAGATCGTGTGAAACACATTAACAGGTCCTGTATTCATGTCCTGATGTTTTGTGTGTCCTATGGATTAATAAATACACACTATATTCATCTATCCTCCGGTGTGCGGCTGACCCTTCTTCTTATAGCATAGAGATTCATTACCTTTTAAAGCTCAACTCCGGCCACAGTGAAAAGCGAACATGGTATCTATGCTTATGTCAGCAATGCATTCTACTTTGTAAATCCTGACTATGGCTTATTGTTTAAATACATGTGGTGCTGCATCATGTAATGTAGCATCCCAATGCACCTAGTCTGTGCACTT